CAGATGTACAAAGGGAAGATTCAGGAAATAGCCCTCAGCTCAGGCTCAGATAGGCAGCAAGAACTCTGAGCCTGGGGTTTTCTGACCAGACACTGCCGGTCCATGTCCACACGCATTGCAGACTCGGCTTGAGGCCAGCACAGACATGACTGCGACCCAGCTACCTTGGAGCTCAAGCGTGTTCCACGGCCCCGAGCAGGCAGGTGGCATGGAACACTACTTGTGGTCCCTAGTTTTAAAAAACGCTGGTTGCCAAAGACATCTCCAGGCTCTGCAGGTCACCCCAACCTTTTTTATGAGGCTCTGGAGGCTCAAGGGTAAACCAGTGTAACCAGTAGGACGACAGTTCGCATAATCTGTGATGCTTGTTTTGGCAGGGTCTCACTCTGTGTCCCAGGTTAGCCCAGCACTCGCTGTTGACACTGACGAGCTTTGCCGACAGGGTACCTATCAGTGGTCCATCATCCTCATCATCTTCCCAGGCCCTCCCCGCTTGAACCTGGTAGTGTGGGCTGGTCCTAAAGTCTTGCACCTCCTGCTTCCGCATCCCATGTGCTGAGGCTGCAAGTGTGCCCCTCCCACTTTTTTCTTTTCTTATTTGATTACAGCAAATGCACATTTATTTGTTTTGGTTTTTCAAGGCAAGACAGGGTTTCTCTGTGTAGCCTGGCTGTCCTGGACTCGCTCTATAGATCAGGCTGACTTCGAACTTAAAGAGATCCGCCTGCCTCTGCCTCACCCCGCCCCCCAAGCCCTGGGATCACAGGTGTGCGACACTGTGTCTGACTCCATGCAAATGCACCCTTAAGCAAAAAAAGATATTGCCAAAGTCTCCGTTCATCTCTACCCACACAGGTATTCCCTGCCCACCCCTGCCCACCCAGGAAACCACCAGGCTCGCCTTACCCCTGAGCAGCGGTTCTCAACCTTCCTAATGCTGCAACCCTTTAGCACAGCTCCTCACGTTGTGTTAAGCCCAACCATAAAATTATTCTTGTTGCTACTTCATAACTGATTTTGCTACTGTTATGAATCTTAATGAAAATATTTTTGGAGATAGAGGTTTGGTGGGGGAGGTCTCGACCCACAGGCTGAGAACCCACAGGCCCTAGAGATTATCCTCCAGCCTGCTGGGCACGCCGCACAGGGTGAAGCACTCAAGGCCAAGTCTTGACTGGTGCAGCTTTAACTGGTTTAATGTACTTTGTATCATGAGAAACGCGGAGTGCTTTTCCCTTGAAGCAGTCTCTGAGGTCCACTGTTTGGAGACCAAGTGGACTCTTTGGGGGAGGCCCACATATGCCAGTCCTTCCTACCGCTGGGACGGCGGCATCCCTCTTCAGGCGTCGCCTACATGAAGGCCTGCAAGCAGCTTCTACCAAAGGCCGCCAGTGTTTCTAGTGATCCTCATAGCTACACTTCCTAGACTGAAGCTGCTTCAGTGTAGCAACTGAGAAAAATCCTGGGGGCTGGAGACACAGCTCAGTGGTTAATAGCCCTGGCTGCTCTTGCAGAGGATCTTGGTTCGATTCCCAGCACCCACTCGGCGGCTCACAACCATCCATAACTCCATTTCTCCAGGGGATCCGTTGCCTTCTTCTGACCTCAGGTGCCAGGTTTGCACAGGTACGCAGACATTCGTGCAGGCAAAAACCCATACAAGTAAAATAAAAAAATAAATCTAAGGAGAAATTCTCTGTAGTGGGAATTCTCTAGTTTCTTCCCTGCTGCTCAGTTCTCTTTGATTCCTGGGTGTTGGGTTAGGAAGTTAAGAATAAGGACTGCGGTTTAAGGTACCCAAAGCTCCCACTCCGTCTCTGTACAGCTAGTTCTCTCCCTTAAAGATAAACTCCAAGTTCACCAGTACTTACATAACAAAAGCCTGATGGCGACTCTGCCACCGAACTCTGCCCCTAGCCTGGAAAGGGATTTATCTCCTCAGGCTGTAAGCTGAGAAAGAGTGTTGCTGTTTCAGCTCCTACACAGCTGTAATAAACAGCAAAGCCATGAGAGCCATAAGCAGGCCCGGCTGAGGAGCACCCCATTTTGTCCTCACCACAACCCCACCACGAGGGATGTTAGCCCATTTTTCAGATGTGGCCACTGAGGCCCAGACTTGACCCTGAACAGCTGTCCCAGCTTTGTTTCTCCCCGCTGTGCTGACTGTCTGGTGACAGGATGCATTTTTCACTTAGGTCTTTGCCTCCGCCTTCCAACTCATGGGCAGCCCGTGGGCAGGAGATCCAGTGTGTGGTCAGCTGGGCCTGGCCGGCTCAGGAAGCCCCTGCCGGATGAGTGGAGCCTCCTGAGAGCCCCATCAGCGGTTTAAATCTGAGGCGGCATTGCACATGCTTATTTATCTATCAAACAGATTCTCCCTCTCTCTCTCTCCCTCTCTCTCTCTCCCTCTCTCTCTCGACAGGTTCTCCTACAACCCAGGCTGACTTCCGAGTCACTATGTACTGGTACTCACCTTAACTTCTGACCCTCCTGCGCCTCTGCCTCCTGAATGCTGGGACGGAAAGGGCACACACTATCGGGCCCGGTTTACGCATTGCTGGGAATCATGCATGGTCAGCTTCATTCTAAGAAGCGAGCCCACCGCCAGTCCTCGCTCTTTTCAGTTTGCTGTTTTTGAGGCAGGGTCTCATGTGCTTGGAACTCAGTATGTAGCCGATACTGACCTTGAACTCCTGATCCTCCTGCTTCCCATGTGTCAGGATTAAAGGTGCACGCATCACAGCTGGTTTTCACATTCATTACTCTTACGGACACAGAACTGGTGATGGTGAGGAGGCAGGCCCCAGAGAGAGGCGTGAAGCCACATACATACACTCGGGGTGTTGGAGTTATCGTTCTCGGTCTTAACTGTTCTCCAAGTCAGCAAGGAAATAACTAAATGGGAAAACCAGTCTCATGGAACTTGTATCAGGTTCAGTGCCTGACATCTGAAATTAAGATAGGGGTAAAATGTGGTTCTTTCAGAAGCACATTCATGGATCCATTCTGGGGAAGCCCAAGTCATTTAAAGTCTTTACACCTCCCCAAGAAGTTTACCGACCCTGTGGTCCCTCTCAGGGCAAGAGGGCCCCAGGAAGATGAGCCAAGCCTCGCTCAGCCTGTGTTGGTTAGGCAAGAAGGTGAGGACATGACCCCACCCGGATGGGACCGAAGAAGCTTGAAGAGAACCACCCCCCAGGATGCTCAGGCCCTGCAGCTGCCCTTGGAAGCAAAGCATTTTCAGAGGCAACTTCAATGCCACACAGGTGGCTCCTTGGAGCAAGTAGCCCTAGTAAGTGCCCTAGAGATAACCAGAACATGAAGAACCCAGACACCTGGTAGGTTTGCCAACAAGCCACACCACTAGTGGCCAGCAGTTTCTAGGGTTCCCTCCAGGCACTGCCTCCCTAGGGCTGGGCGCTGGTGTTCTCAGAAAAACTTAGAAGCAGCTAAGTGTACTGGCTGAGAAAAGATAAGCAATGTTCAAGGAGACAAGTGTTTATTGAGACACAAGTGGCAGGTAGCCAGCGGCTGTGTCCCACACAAATTCAGAGCCAGGCCACAGAGCAAGGCCACAAATGTTAACAGTGCTCTTTTGGGGTGTGCAATAGGGTGCCCAGCTATAAATCACTAGGTGCCACGCATTTCTGTAGTGAACATGGACTGTTATTGTGATTTAAAAAAAAAAAATGTGATAAAGAAAAAGGCTGCCACAGGGGAGAATCACTCCACTCCCCCAACCCACGCTCCAAATGGCATCTTCAAACCTGGGCACATATTAGGGCCTGAGACTTCCTGCCCTGGTGAACAAGAGGAACAGAGAAGCTTATTATTGGTCAGGTGCCTCCTCTTGTGGTCATCTCAGCTCTTTCTGCTGTTCCATTCCATCAAGCCCAAATGCCTCTGATCAGCTGCGAGAAAACCCAGCAGGTACTGCCTTTACAGCTTACATTACGCAGATGTTTTTTATTATTGATGTTTTCCCTTGGATTGACTCTTCCTAGCACTCCTAAAAAAAAAAATCACAGAAACAGCTGGCAGAGGCCGGGAGGCCACCGCTGCGACTACAGAGTTGCAGTGCGCCACAGAACGTCCTGGTAGGGGCTTACTTTTGGAATCCCAGACTTCGTCATGCCTTGGGTCCTGGGGGAAGTGACTAGACCTCAGTCTCTCGATCTGCAGAGCCGGAAATGACTATAGCTTCGACCTCCCTGTTGGAAGGCTTAAAGGCTGAATTGTTTAGAACGCTACTCTGCACAAAGGCTGCGGAGGAGGGGAAGGGGGGGAGGCCGACACTTGTTGCTATGCTCACACCGAGTTCAGGGGGCCTTGGATCAAGAGATACACTATCACCGTGTCCCAGCACTGGGGCAGGAGAATTACAAGTTCAAGGCCAGCCTGGGCAACTTAGTAAGACACTGTCTCCAAGAAAAAGTAGACAGAGGGGGTGAAAGGCAGAGGATGTAGGTGGGTGGGCTTCATCCTAATCCAACGTGGGGCGGGAGTGGCTGAGGCGGTCAGACGAATTCCGGGCCAGCCTGGGCTACCAATCGAGATCCTGTTTCAAAATAACACATCAACACGAGTACCTGACCGCCTTCCCATTTTACAGAAGAGGGCAGCCAAGTTGCACAAACAAAAGGAATACCTCACAACCAGTTTCTTTCATGTGGTTCCAGGCTCTATCAAAGCTTACAGAGCTGAGACAAAGTCCTGGTTTGGTAAGAGCGGCCGCGGAGGGGTCCTGACCCAGCTCCTCCTTCTGAACCCCGGCCCGGGTCTGCATGAGCCGGGGAGGGCTGAAGGAGAGGCCTCGCAGAGAAGGGCTGGGCCTCCTGAGTGGACCCAGGACCGCGCGGAGCGGAAGCAACACCCACGGCGCCCGGCGGCTGCATCGACGCGGGATAAAGGGGCTCACGACTGTTCCGGGTGGGGAAACTGAGGCCAGCTCGCCCGCTCCGTCCGGCCCCGGGGCCTGCGGAAGCGACCGCGAGTCTCACCTGGTTGCAGAAGACCTCGGGCTGCTGGTTGGGGGCCGGCACGGCGCTGGTGGCGGCAGCGGACAGCAGGCGGCTGAGGCGCGGCCCGCGGCGGGCGGTGGCGAGGGCGGCGCGCAGCATGCTGTACCGAGACCAGACGAATCGCCGCACACTGACTCCTCGCCTCCTACCCGCGCGGCGGTCAAGGGGCGGGGGAGGCACGGGGGCGGGGCCGAAGAGCCCCAGCCCCCGAACGGGGCGCGACCTGCCTCCCCGGGGCGAATCAGAGCTGGAGCCTAGCAGAACCCGGGAGCGGCGGGAGAGAGCTTAGCCGTTTCCTAAAGCTGTCCCCTCCCCTCCCCCCTCCGACCCGAGGGAGCCGGCCAGCGCCGTGTGCGCCCAGAGCAGGGCCTGAGGCTCCTCTCTGTGGCGGTGCAGAGAGGATTTCACGATTGCGGTTATTCTGTGGACAACTGGGCACTGGGGGTGCAGGAGGGCATTGGCTAGAAAGGGATGTGGACGCCTGGTCCCCCGTGTGTCCTTCAACCAGATGAACGCAGCGGTAGGCTAAGGAAATGATGGTGCCGGGCTGGGACTCTTGGGCAGTGCAAAGAGAAGTGTTTTGCAACAGAGGAGCCCGAGAGGTTGGCGGAGCTGAGGCCCAGCGTGTTTCTGAAGCACCCAGCAGGAGCCTGCAGTGTGTAAGCTTCGCCTTGCTCTGATGTCTCTCAGGATATTGTCACCCGCGCTGTAAGGGCGAAGTCCCAGTGACCAGACAAGGGGCCTGGGTGCGTTTCCTTGTGTGTCTCTGATTTTAGCACTGAACAGCTGAAGTTGTTCCGGGGCTCAGCACCCTAAACACAAAACAGGAGGGAAAAGCATTTTAAGGACCACATGGGCGGGTCACATGACCAACCTGTGCAAAGGAATCTGGGAAACTGAGAGCACAGTTCGGAGAAATTGTCAAGAAGCCACTTAGCAGAAATTCAGATTCCTCAGGGACCTACCCTTATAGAAATCAAAGGACAAGCTCAAATTTCATGTCTGCCTGGAAACTGTGCAGCTCTGTATTAGCCAATCAGGTCAGAACGGAAGGCTGTCAGTGAAATACAAGTCTCCTTAGTCTTAGGCATAAAAACCCAACAGAAAGCTGGATCCAGGCCTTTAATCTCAGCACTCAAGAGACAGAAGTGAGAGACCACAGAATTGAAAATTGGTTTTTGGGTATTGGTTTGGGGTTTGGAGCACAAGCCTGAACAAAGGCCAGCCAGGTGGAGATATGACCAACCACCTGGGGGGAGGAACCAGCCTTACCACATTCTTTTCCTAGAGATACTAGGATACTAGGCCAGTTGCTAGGAAACTGGCCCAGATGGCCAGGCCAGAACAGTTTATGGTCTTGGCATCTAAAGTAAACCAGTCATTTCAAAAGTCAATTTCCCTTACCCAATCATGTCATGCCAAGGCGTATAACTGCTTGCGGTTTTGCCCTTTAAAAACCTTGTTCCCCTAGACAAAGGGGCCGCACTCCTCCTCTTCAACCATGGAGGTTGCTGCAACCCAGGCTCCAGCTTGTAATAAAAAGATCCTCATGTGTTTTGCAGTAGAGTCCATTCTTGGTGGTCTTTTGGGGGTCTCATGAACTGGGCATAACAGAAGCAAAGAGACCTCTGAGAGCTTGAGGCCAGGCTAGAGGTCTGCGTTCAAGTTCTGGCCAGCCATGACTATATAGTGAGACCCTTTAAAGAAGGGTCAGCAGGGCCCTCTGGATGTGATTGCTTGCTCAGCATGTTGAGGAACCCTTCTGCAGAAGTAAGCCATTTGGCCTTGCCAAAATGTTTTGGATTGTTTGGGGATCTTGAATCTACAGACCCATTTCCTACAGAAAGGTATCCTCATTCAAGGTGTCCTCATTAAACATGGCTACTTGCTGTTCCATTTGCTACATGTACACTTTTATTTAAAGATTTTTCTACGGGTAGCATTTAGGTGCCTTCCAATCTTCTGTGAGTACAAACAACGCCACAGCTTGTATCTTTGACTTACTAAGAAACTCGTAGAGGTAGAGCTGGGAAGTCACAGGATATTTCCTAATTAAACATAGATATTGCCATACACAAGCTACTTAGCTTATGAAGGGTCATGGCCTGCAACCCCTCTCAAGGTGGAAGTATCATAAATTGAGAAAGCTTTGAAAGTCTCCTTTCCTGTGATCTCAGCATTAAGGAAGTGGGGTCAGAGGATTAGGAGTTCAAGGTCAACCTGAGCTCTTTGAGTGTCAGACTAGCCTGGGTTACAGGAGACACAATCTTAAATAGACAAATAACTTCAATACATCAAGCCTTCCCTACTTCACAGCTTCGCTGGGCACTGTCTGTGTCCAGCCTTCACGACTCCGGGCTGGCTGGGAGCCCAGCTTACAGAGCATCTTGAGGGAGGCTCCTGTAGTTAGCCAGGGGAAAGATCCATGTTCAAAAAGTCTTACCCAGTGGTGGGGCACCCCTGTAATCCCAGCACTCAGAAAGCAGAGGCAGGTGGATCTCTGAACTCTGAGGCCAGCCTACTGAGCTGAGTTCCAGGACAGCCAGGGCTACACAGAGAAACTGTTTCAAATAAGCAAAAAATGTCTAGCCTAGGCTGGCCACCCAAGAGCAGCCACCACACCCTTACGCCCTTCCCACTACTTATATGCATGTCTAAGCAGTGGGAGGAAATATCTTTTTGTCTGTGTGCTGCCCTGTGTTCTCTCTGCTAGCTATTAAATGTCCTCGTCCTGGCTGGTTTTCCCATCTGGCTGATGACTGTGTGTTTGTTTTTGTTTTGAGACAAGGTATCACTATATAGACCAGGTTGGCCTCAAACTCAGAGACCAACATGTGCAACTATATCTAGTGCTGTGTATGTGTGTGTGTGTGCACACTTGCGTTGTGAGAGTTCACACATGTGCAAAGGCAGTAAACACTTGGCCCATCATCGTGGTGTCCTTTTGGTCACTTACCATTTTCTACTGGCAAATGTCCTTAAGTGGTCAGGGATTTCTACTTTATAAGCGAGCATGACACCACACTTTCTTCTTCTTTAACCTTTTTGTTTCCTTGTTTATTCATATGGAGGCAGGCTCATCCTGTCCCTTCTCTGGAGAACTGAGATTATACCATGACTACCACACTAGTGTACGTGCTGAAGGTGAAACCCTAGGCTTTCATGGACTCCACCCACTGAGCAACACTCCCCTGGCCCCCAACCCTATTTTACTCTATTTTTTTTTTCCTCTTAACCTGGACAAAGTGGCGTTATTAGCAAAAGCCAGAATTATATAGGAGTTACACTGGGCCTTTCTTCTTGCCAAAGGTGGGCACATCATTACCATAGCTTGGATTACACTGCACCTCATTGTCTTGGGAGTCTTTTTTGCTATTTGGCCACTTAGGGGGTGAGTCTGTCTTCCCCCCTTTCCAACACGTGCCAGGGATCCATGGACTTACAGGAGTGATCAAGGCCCCACCCAACACTGGCCTAGGGTAGCATGCATGGCCGAAGAACAACTTGATAGCCTGGGACAATATGGTCTCTGCAGTGAGACCATAGACCACATAAGCCTCGATGTGGGTGAAGGTCTCCTGGCCAGGTACCTTGAGGGCACCTGGCTCCTGGGCATGGACAGACAGCTGCATGTTGTTGACTGACAGTGGACAGAGCTGCCACTACTGTGAAGAACTTCCTTTAAGTTTAACCCCCTCCATTTAATGCCAGCACTCAGAGGGGCAGGACTGTGGCTTAAGGGCTAGCCTGGGCTACATAAAGAGAGTCTGTTTCAAAAAGCCAAAGTATGGAACCAAACAAAACAGGAAGGCTGGCATTCTGCGGTAAGGGATGGAAGTCAGTGGTAAAACACTTGCCTAGCATGCTGGACACCCTATAAACCTTACCTATCAAATTCAGCTGAAGGACTGGGCATGATGGGACCCTACAGTCAGACAATCCCACTGTCCCTGCAGAATCCATCTTGATGTGTACCAAGAGCAGCATAGAGGGATGTGTTTCCATTCCTGTCCTAGGACAGAATGCTGTGGTGAGAGAAGAGAATGCAGGATTGCTCTGCTTTGATCTGATAGGTTATCTCCACAGATGCAATGCGCCAATTCAAGCCAAATTAAGGTAAAAAATGCAGGCTTATTGGGGGCAGCTCTCCTGACCTCACAGGATGGGGGAAGCTCTCTGGACCTCACAGGATGGAGAGAGGGAGAGAGGAGACAGATAAACAGACAGAGATGGAGAGAGATGAAGGAAAGCAGGGAGGAAGGGAGGGAGGGAAGGGGAAAAGCAAAGGGAGGGAGGGAAGGGGAGAGGCAAAGGGAGACGGAGGAGAGAGAGGAAGCAAAATGATGTGGATTATAGAGTGAAGACCCTCTGGAGGAGAGGAGGCCCAGCCCCTGGGCTGGGAAGTTCAGGTAGGGACTAAGGGATGCTGAGAGAACCTGGAGGCCAGCTTTGGTTAAACAGGCACCTCAAATGCTTGTTCCAGGTCTGAATCCCAACACGATCCTCTTCCACGACAGGTCAGGCAGTGCTGCCATGGGATTACAGGTGTGCACCACCATGGACCCGTCCCGAGGGGCGAATTGAGCAGGGCTCACCTGAAAGAAAGAGTGGGAATGATCGGGGCAGAGACACGAAGAATGGAATCAAGACAGGTTTTTGATCAAGACTCGTTTATAAGGCACTCAAACAGCTTTTTTTTTAAAGCAAAAAGCCACAAGTAACTTTCTTATAGCAACATCCCATTTGCGTCATTTGACAAAATACCCAAGAATTCATACAAGGGTACACAAGGTTTATTATCTAGTTCCCGGGAATAGGGCACCCTGCGACTGGATAAGCTGACTTGGAGAAACTGAACTTTATATTAAAGCAACATCTGCCAAGGCGAAGAGGCAGAATTCCATTACCAGACTCCTTCACACCATGCCTGGCTCCCTCGTGACTTCTGAGACCATGCTTCCTATACCTTTTTAAATTTTGTATCTATTTATTCTTGGAGGAGTTACCACGGGAGTCCATGGTTGTTAGGGAACTTGAGCTCGAAAGGTTTCATCCACTCTAGGAGAGGTTGATCAAATCTCTTCTGATAAATGCAGGAAGAACTGAAAATGGGAAACCAAGGGGCTCTGGGCAGCCTCAGAGCAAGTCAGTGCATTTTGCACAG